CAAAATGATAGCGATGAGACATTAAATCGTACACGCAAAAAATCCCAGCCATAAATTTTATGAAGAGCACATCTATACATAATTTTCCGTCAGTTGACTGGCAAATATTGATTTAAATATGAAATCAGTACGTCACCTCAGTATCCTCTTGTTTAATTCTTTAGTTCTCGAAGGACTTTACACGTACCGTTCGCTAGTAACCGTAACTGGTACATAAAGCGATGTATTAGTATAGAACAAAAAATCCCGAAGTTCCGTATTACGGTAAGAATTTCATAATTGAAATGATTCCATGACAATTAATACGACAGTAAACTACTAGCAGTATCAAGGATCTTAACTAACGAAATAAATATTTAAGTGTGTGGAGCGATAACATATTGACTAAGACACTCAACATTTGAGTACTGAATTGTCAATTTGAACTCGGTTTTACTTCTGTTAAACTATCCAGGAATCGTACTTGACTACCGAGTCGCACTATTTATCATCTCTAGAACATTTTGAACGATAGTCAGAAGCCTTAGAATGGCAGAAATGAATACCGAACACAGAGGGTTAGAGACTTTGAATGACATGGCTAAAATCGTTTAAAATGGCGCAAGTGCATCCATTCTTTGGTTTCCCCCAGATTCTGAGATTCTAAATTCGTCACAACTTTCGTTAGTTTTTAATTCACGAACATATATTTTTCTTCAGTGGTTGCGCACTGCTGAGGAGTCCCACAATAGGGAGAGACGGCCGTTCAGTGCTTTCAAGCTTTACATGGTGGCTGTTATATCCCCATAAGAATAATGAATGTTAACTTTTGAGATCCATTTATACTATAAGTATATTTTCATTGTATAATTGTTAAATGACTAAAGTGTTCATATTCGTGTCCCTATTATCATAAGTTTTGTTTTGGCCTATGAACTATTACCATACGATTTACCATTCTTGAGTTATGCCCTATCTATCAATTACCATCTCCCTTATTCACAACCATATTTGGCTGCCTTGTACAAATGTTGTTTCCTATTTTATGGTATGATGTGGTCTGTCTGGTTGGTTTATAAACCCAGTATTTTTGAAATACATGATTCATATCGCAGAGGCTGAGGTTGGTGTTCTAGACTCAACTGGCTGGGCTAGGCAGGAAGCATGACCGATAAGTACTCTAGACTGCTCGTAAGGGTATTATGCGTCATTGATCCAATCGATAATTCACTGCTCTCTATTTGGTGGTATCATCCCGTTATACGTTATCAGGGCACACAGGCCACAAGTTATAACAGTGGCCTAGCTTCAATTGACTCATGATCTCAACCTCTAAAATTACTATAATATCTACAAAACCCCTTCTGATATAATTTCTCTTGATCTTTAGCTTCAATGTCTAATTTTCCTTATTGCTACGGAGACTACTACTATTATTCTGGGGTTTCGCCTGACAATTTCATCTCTCTATGCTAACGGGGTATGGCAACTTGAACTAGTGTAAATACATACCAGGTCCTACGTTGTGACTGACCGACTGGCTGCCCAAACAGAGCTTAAGACGCAATGAATACGTGGAGCATAATCGCTTGATATGAAACGTAGTTCGAAAGTTGTCGGTGATCACTGAAGATATGCAAAGTCACACGTTAAGTCTCGTAAAATGTTATTGAGAACTGAACTATCCTTAAACATGAAAAATTATTCTCAAAAACGTTTCTTATCTTAGCGCTTTACTTTACTATAAAAGAGTTCATCTATACTGACAATTGACCTACTAGATATCAGCTTTAGTAAAAAAAACTGCATGTGATTGTGGAAGTTTAGGAATTACTAAAACGACTGTCGATTATTATCAAAATGGGTTGCTAGGATTAGAAAATTTGAGAAATATAGAGTAATCAGTATAATGTTTGACAATTAAAGGGACTGGTAATATAAGTACACATATCATTTCTATAAAGTGGGTCAGGATAATAAAGTTTCGTTATAAACTAAATTCGAACAAACTAACTTCTTGTGTAAAAATGGCAGGATTTCCAGATTCTAACATATCCTCCAATTCTTCATTAGAAATCTTTCTCTCAGCTAAAATGAAAAGTTACTCCCCATTAAAAAAACTAAAGTACACACTATGTGTAAAACAAAAAATTGCTTTATTTAGTATATATATATATGTTCGCAACCACATATTAAAAACTAATTTGCCGTACTTCACTGGGACTCAAAACACAACGGTGGTGCCTTCTTGAGTTTTGACAAGAAGTCCCTATATTTAGTTTATCATAATTCACGTAAAAATATGGGTTTAATAAATGTAACGACAAAAGACGTTGCATATAATTATCTCCGTTTTAGAACACCATAATTAGTTCTAAAGGTTGTGGCCGGACTGTAGAAGTGTGTTGATATAGGTAGCTACTCAAAAACTACCAACAGGTTTAATGTATAAAATGGCCTACTAAAAAGAAGTGAAACTTCAATGTAACTGATGATCATGAAAACATATATATTAGTCGTTTCGTTTATAATTTGGAGTCAATGAGGACTAATCATATGAAACCATCTTAATATGACTCAATAATCAAGTAGTTTTCGCACTTCTCCCTGAATATATTTTTGTTGTATGATGATACAATATCAGTTACGTGGAATGAACTAGGCAGAGCAAGATTCAAACACGTAACTAAAGGTTGGTAGTCAAATGATTCTAACTCATAAACTTTTGTTAGTTCTCTTAAAACGTAAAGGCAGAGTGTGTAATCAACGAAACTTCAATGCACGTGGATTTACTCAAAAGGGGATCATTAAATAACTGATGATAAACTCTCATGCATAGTTGAAATAAGGACTCAGGAGATAGTCGAGTGAATAAAAATGAGGTAGCAAATCTTTTAATGAGCTGTTCGGGTGCATGAAGCAGATGTAAAGAAGGTATAGGAACTAAGGTTTCAGATAAGTTACGACGATCGGACTTTGGTCCTAAATGAACGGAATATGGTTTACGAAACAAGTGTTAGGTGACTGCATAGATCTTGTGAAACCTTGGGACACATGAGACAGAAAGATCATGTGAGACTGGTAGAAAGGCACAATGCTAAACTTACTTTAACTGTTGCTACAAAATGATTGTCAGTGTGACATTGAAGGAATAATCGTTAGGACGGTCAGATATGTATGACGTAAGGTTTAGAATATACACCTAATAACTTAAACTATTTCGTTGAAGGTGGATCTAGGGGTAACAAAACCAACCGCAGCAGATAACGAGAAAACAGATTAAATAAATGAAAAAACCAATACATAGAGTAATGAATTGTTTACAGTTGACGAGGCAATTGATAAGTATAATAGGACTACCGACATACCCGTGACTAGTTTTTTCGTCTACTAATCATACAAATGTTGAGGAGTATATCGTTTTACGTATGAAGTTCCGACCAATGAAACTAAGTGACGTGATTCGACAATCTTAAATGTGACAAAAGATTAAGTCCAAATTTGTATTAGGTACTAATGTGTAACAGAAAAGAAAGACTAAATAGACTTGAAAATCCGTATAACATGTTAAGTACGAAGAGAACGTGTGGAATAAAGAATATTAGGATCATATATAGGGTGGAACAGCCAGAACATGCTTCTTCACAGGACATTATTGCTTGAGAATAAAAAAAGGTTTGAAAATGAGGAAACACTAACAAAATACCACATTATCTTTCTTAGTATTTCTAAAATAAAGTAAAAACAGAGATGGGCTGTCATTAAACAAAGAAAGAAACACTGAGTATAGTAAGCGTTGTCAGGATGCTAGTGCTATTAATCGAAAATGCAACTAGAAGGTATGAGGATTTTAAGGTTCGGTATTAACCTCTGTCTACAGGAGCAAGAACAAACTATTTACATTTTTGAAGGCTAACGATATTCGTGCTTATAAAACGCATTCATATCAGGGATCTAAATTGTGGTCAGTCTGACATTAAATGACTAAACTGGTTCTGAAGTAATTTTAAACCAAGTTTAGTTGTACAATAAAATTAGGAATACTTTCACTCATTTGGTCAAAGCTATTAATGATGAAATCTTCAAACGTTTGAGAAAATGATAGAAGCACGTGAGTGTAGTGAACTAAAGTCCATACACAGAATTTTAGTGCTTTAAAAATAAATAAACAAGCATGTTTGTATCGCAATGGACATGGACATAAGTATATGATATGAAACTAACCGATCTCCATTTGTCTTTTTATTCGGTTCTTGCAGGCGTCTCTGAAAGCAACTTGAGCTTTGTTATAGTCGGTCATAACTTCAATAAAGTTCCGAGAAATTGTGGAGTACTATAAACGATGAGCGAGGCACAGGACAACTTTACCTGGGTCTTTCTTATCCGTAAATCCGCTGATGTCCTGTCAGAGTTTTCATCATACTCGATGTTCATTTCCATTTCTGCAAATAACAGACAGTAAAATCACTTACGCTTTAGTTTCGCACGCACCTTGTGTGCGATTGTCTTAATTTCAGCCATAGCATCTTCAAGTTGAGCCTTCGTAGCTGCAACACAAAGACTATTAAGAAGTTAAAAACTACCTTCGTCTTGATTAGGCGAAGAAAGTATGTCACTATGTTTATTTTTTACATTATCAACAAGAGATTGAACCCGTTCAATCAAGTTTCGAATTTCCTCAACTTGAGAGAAAAAATCATTCATGTACTGAGACCCATCAAGGGGCAAGGAAGTGTCGGGCAGGTCATTTGCATCTTCAGGTTGCGCCTGAGGGATATATAACAACTATATTACACACTTACAGCCCGAAGAGCGCCTATTAAGTCTTTCGTCATTAAAAAGCGGCCGCCCTGAAAATAAATCTCCCGCGCTTATAAAAACAAAAATAACTCAGTCACTGAAAATATTTTCAGAACTTCTCCTTATGAAAAACTGAAGTTACAGGTAGTAAGATAGTGAGTTTAATTAAATAATATGAAGCGGCATTATTAATCACTGTGCCTCGTCGTTACTAAATTCTGATGGATATAATCTCTCAAGAAATATCAAATACTCCTCCTGTTACGTCTGCATACATATCAACATGTTTTCTACTAACAGTTGCAGTCGTAAGCATTTTCTTCAGTCGTTATTTTTACAACTTAGCAACTCAACTTAATTTCTCCTTTTCAATTATATTTCAATCCGTCTTTAATAGCGAATAACTTTCAGGTTTGTATTCTCGCGTATTTTTAATAGCCGTTTTTTAGTTATGGAGGCTGGTGACATCGTTTTGCTTCTTCGGATCATTCAATTTTAGTTTTCTCTTTAATATCCTGTTCGCTTATCGATACTGCCGTATGTTGGAAGAAACGTGGTACAGTACGAAAACTGCTGACTTTGTCATGATGTTTCTGTTTTGTGGAACTCTCACGATAGTAGGGTGTCTTTCATTAAGTTTTTTTCAGATAATCGCCTTGTTTGTTAACATGCTGTTTCTCAGTCATGTCTTGACAATGATGCTTGTTTACGTCTGGAGTAGAAGAAATCCATTAGTGAGGCTAAACATATTCGGGATAATAGAAGTAAATGCTCCATACCTTCCCTGGGTGTTTTTTGCATTTTCTTTCCTTCTTGGGAATAATATGATGGTTGATCTTATTGGTAAGGAGGTTTTCATCCTTATTAACTGTTTAGGTATTTTTGTTGGTCATCTTTATTATTTCCTCGAAGATGTATATCCTAATCAAGTGAATGGATTTCGAATACTCCGTACGCCTGAATTTATGTAGGCCTGAATAATTAATGCTGACGTGTATTTTTCTAATATTAGGAAATATTTGTTTAATAGACGACAAATTAATCGTGCTTATGAGCCTCTCCCAGAAGTGGGAAGACCTGGTGGCTTTAATTGGAATGGTCAGGAGTAATCTAACCGTAATAACAAATAGTTTTCTAATTTATCTTTTCCTTATACCCCTGAGTATATGTTTTGGTTGTGTAAAGTTTCTTCTCTTGATTATTTACTTTGGCTTATTATTTTTATTGCATGGTTTTGCCAGTCTGTAAATGTTTATTAAGACTGCCTTACACTTTTGAGATTATCAAACCGCACTGTTGCTACTTTTTATAAACTTAAAACAATTACAGTAATGTTTTGAATTCTTCAAGAATAACAGTCAGTTATACGCAATGTATGTTTCAGCACATGTGCACATCAACTAAATTGTCACATCCCACCATTACAGCGAGGTGGAATTACCAAATCCAAGAGATTCTTTAGTGATGATATTGGTAATAATATAAACGATGAGGCATAGATCTGCTTTGAGAAAAAAGTGGATTAGCGTGATAAAGACATGGACAAACCTCTGGCTGTGTAGTGCGATCTTTTTCCGTTTAAAATGAATCTGATTCTTAACACAACTATTTATACACACAGCGAACGCAAGGATATGAATATTTTACCGTCTATTGTATAAGTTTTGGCAAAAATAAGAGAAAATCGGCCGATACTGAAAAATCCTAAATGTATTTACTAAACTCTATATCTGCGAGCTTGACAATATCAATAAAGCAGTGGCTTAGTAGTCAGGACATTGGACTTTTATCCTCTTGATCGTAATTCGAGTACAACTCCATCTGCGTTAGTTTGGACAAGCATGTAATATCGTTAGCCCTCGCACAAAATCTGGCTGGAATTTGGATACAAAAACCTGAACTCCACATATGGTTGAGTTGTAGTATTCTCTCATCTTTCAAACAGAAGGAAAGATTTGTGTTTGATAAATAAAGATAGCTCTAAATATCTCAACGAGTGTATCACCACTTCTGTGACACAAATCACTTATGTATACTACGAAAAGTTACCAATATTAGTATTTAATTATGCTTCGTTACAATGTGGTATAAATTAGAAATATTTCGGTTTGTACGTAATAATCAAAATGACATCACTCTCAAACTTAAAGCTATCTTAAGTTAAGTTTAAGTTTGTATGTTTAGTTGTTGAGAAAATATAAACGGTGCAATTACAACTAAATAGAGGCCCACAAATGCCCTGGTACGGCCGACAGTAGGGAGAGTCCGTTCTCCCTCTCTAATGCCCTCACACGGCCACGCGTATACAGCCTCTGTCAAGAAAGTCCTACTCACCGCCTCGTAGCGGGGGTGTTTACGAAAATGAGAGGACGAAAAGCGAATGTCCGGCGCTTTAAACGTGCCAGTGAACACGGTGAGTCCACCTTAGGGAGTTGAAAAACCCTGATTCCAAACCAATGGTGCACATGGGCTCCAGTATCCTGAAGGAACAAATGGCGTATGAACCAATTGTTGGTCATCGGATACCATGGGACTGCATCTCCTTACGATGCTCCACTGCCTTGTGGATCAGACCTTCAGGTCGATGGCTCCGGGTGTGGCCTTCTAAGAAAACCACCTGCTTTTGTTTGAGCACCCGAGCAGTACCACAGCCCATATACAAATAGGATAGAATAACGACATTTACTTAAAATACTATTCACGCTTCGATTAACAGTCAAACAATTTACATTATTTTTTACCACGTCAGTTATTCACTCTCTTTTCCCCTTTTAATGGAAAAGCAACGCATTTATAAAGAAACAAACATAAGGTTGTTCAGTGATATGATTCATAAAAACTTGTCAATCTGATTCATCTTAGTTTTAAAAGGTGGCATGTCAAAATTCTGTGAATGTCGACTATATCTTAGTAGCCTTGGGTGTGGTATTGCAGATAGTAGTCCACATAACCTGACTTATCACGTTGCAGCTTTGATTTAAATCTCGGAAGTGAAGGAATATGTACCGGGAATACAGGTATGTTTCACGCAATAAACAATATTTATTAATATTTAAAGCCATCGCCTCTACATTGCTAGCAGCAATTTGGGATTGTGTTGTTAAAACTAGTAAAAGTATCTTTCTGCATCGGCTATTCTTCACCTACGCAGGGCCTTAACAACCTGTGGTGTAAAATACTTTAGACAGACTAATCTGATCATCCATTGTCATGAAACAGTCTCCATTAATATGTACTGCGTGTAAAGAAACACGGATTATCATCCGATTCGTGGAGTCCCAGCTCACGGTAGGCAATAACATGTTTTGAATTGAGATTATAAATCGATTAACATTAGACTCCCATTTATACCGATAATAACATTGGTGTCACAGTTCAATATGTTCAACTAATTTAAAAGAAACAAATAATTCGGAGTCAATAGTCATCTACTGACCAGTCGTACAGGTGAAAATAATTTTGCTTGATACGCTGCAACCAAGACCGTCTTATCGTGGTTCATAGTTTCTTGTCACCAATTTTTCATATGCTTCGGTTTGACTTTTATCATATATCTTAGGAAGTTAGACTGTTCGAAATGTATTAGGCTAACATATCACGTAGTCCTGATAAGATGTTTTACTACCCACTCTATATTTTTAAGATAATTTCTTCATCTGCTAACTTTTATTCTAAAAGGCTAATTGTATTCTTTAATGAAGTCTAGGGTAATTAATTAACATCAAAACGGATAAATTATGTATTAACGCACCCACTTTCTCAACTATAGTTGGTTTACATTACTTTTAGAGATCATTAGCTGGTGCGGCTTTTAATTTTTAATAACTCACACGTCAAAAAATCGAGTCCGATCATAACCTGGTCAGTGATCGACTAAGCATCATAATTGGAACTAAAATAATCTTACTGTGCAAGCTACTGACTAACTAGTTTGCTCCATGTTAAATTCACTAACTAATACCTCAGTATATCACAAACAGCTAGATTTGGTTTTACTTATAGCGCACAGATGGTTTCATGAAACACTTGGGCGATGAAAGTAACTCAACTAAGCTGTTTTCTATTGAATTTCACCGGGATGATCTCATTTCTTGGAGATTTTGTAACATAAGAAACGGTGCGTTATTTTGTATGTACTTTTAACTAGTTTGTTTTTACCCACGAGTGGATCTCTACATCAAAAACGAGGAAGATGAGATTATCTGCCATGTATGTCCAGTTAACTTAAGCTTTGGGTTCACAGATTAAATTGGGTACGATCCGTAATATTGTGAACGAAACACTTCATCTAACATGCAAGAATTTCCTCGGGTAAACGGTATCCGAAGTTTAACAGACCAAGCTCGTCTTCAATTTACACGCTGTCATAACTCAACGATTAGAATGACCTATTTGCAACATATCTAAATGCTTATAATGTGATGCATGATTGGTACCCAATCGATAAACACTCTAGTACATGTGTTTCAGCAGGCTGCTTGGTTTGATGTGGAAAATTTTATGACGACAGAATCAATTCAATAAAATAGTGATGTGATTTAAGTGACCAAATTTTTCACGAAATCGTTTCAGCCGAACATATTCCAGTTGGGTGACGACTGTTTTCTGAAATACTTTTGCTTCGGATTATGGGGTCAGTTTTGTCACCAAACTATCAGTTCGATAGTCACAATTATACTAATATCTTTTGAGTCGGTTTTAATTCCATTGCCATCTCGTAAACCTAGTAGACTTTACCACTATGAAGACAGTGATCTTGTAACTCATCGCTTTTTCTATCATTTCACACAAAATGATGACATTTAAGAAGCGAACTCCTAGTTAAGTTGTGTTTATTGGTAGATGCGCACAAGCCTTATACTTACATTCATCACTGTATTGGTATTGAAGATATAGAAACATTAGGTAGAACAGATGTGATTGAGTTGTACTTTTGGATTATTTGGTTTGCTCAATATCAGCCAGTCATACCTACTGCATCAAACGAATATGATTCATACTCATTGGTCTCATGAACGATCATTTGTTGCCTTTTAAAAACGGTCACAATTGTTCGAATAGATAGACTAGTTTAAAAATGAGCGTAAGTCAGGTGATAACATTGATATTCAACACGCGCTCGTAGATGACGTTTTCTCCTAAATGATTACACGGTACGAAACATTTCAGTGATCTGACATGTCCACCACAGTTAAGAAAACATCAGATAAGTCGGTACTACGTGGGTTAACAAAAGTTATTAATTTACATTTATCTATACATACACGTTGAGACAATTTTACAATGCATGTGAAAATGTCCGAAAATTATCGAGCTTAAGTAATGACAAATAAAAAACCACATAAATACATCCCAACATGGAAAAAACTTTCCGATCGATTTGGTTTGAAAAACTAATGAGTTTGCAACAGAGACAAAATATGCTTCTCAATTATACGTTGGCTAGCACGTGAGCCTCGTCGTATAGCAAAATCCAGTGCTGTCCACCCATCTGCATTTATAGAAGTAATATCAGCACCCCAATCGAGTAACAGAGACACGATTGCGGCGTTATTGTTATAGGCTGCAAACATTAACGCAGTGTTGCACAGTTCGTCGGACAGGTCTACTGGGCATCCAGCCTTGAGCAAGTAAAGAACCACATCAAAGTGACCGCGGCTAGCAGCTAGGAGCAGTCCTGTTTCTCCGTTATCTCCAGATAGAATGATATTTGCACCATAGAAAACGAGTAACTCCACTGCAGCTTTCTGTCCATTAGCACAAGCCCATAACAGCGGAGTAAATCCCTGCAAATTAAATAACAGAGCATATTAAAGCCGAGTAGCCATTAAAAGCATGTATTTGTATCGATATTCACACCTCTAAAAATCAGGATTCTTGAAGAGCTTGTAATGAAATAACACCAAACATTGTTAGATAAAGTGAATTCGTTTTGCGTTGTTTTTTTAATGCTCAGCATAAGTATTAGTTGTGTAAACAAGATGTTTTATAAATGTATTATCAAAGGCAAAAAATTTATTTTACTGATAGAAGTAATCATAAATACGTGCACGATTGTAAAGTCAATTAATGATTAATTTTACTGGTGAAATAATATACTTCGTTTTTTCCACCATATTGAATCTTTAAAATATCTCATACAGTTAATTCGATTTGAAATGGTTTGAATTGTCGTGTCGTCGGTGTCTAGCTTTATTTCTCATGAACTCCTACCTTGTCATATATATACTTCTAGTGGCGACAACTTCTTCATCTCACTCCATGCATCTATTTCGATTGAAATGCAATATTGTCAAAACATATCTCTACTAAGGGATTAAAATGAGCAACTATTATACCAATTCTGCAATTTGGAACTCCCGGCTTCAAAGCCAAACCACCAAAAGAACGTCTGAATTCCACAGTAATCTCTTATACGGTTGAGGTTCAGTATGTGTCGAAAGTACTGGTGTTTTGTTGTTGATCAAGACTTCATGTCAATTTATAAGAACCCGCGGCTAAAACCCCAGAAAACCTATGAAATGTGTACACAAAAGTAGATCTAACAAGCACTTATCCGTTATATGATTGTAAACTAAATACACCATGTAAATGTTATCGTGAAATGTAACTTAAAACTGTCATTTGAATCGAGTTTTAAATCCACTGAATGGATGATAGTAGTCAAATTCTAGGCATATGAAATAATCTAAGTATACCAAAATCAAGGGAAACGGTACCAAACTTTTTCAAAACACTTGCTGGAAAAAATAGTAAGTATGTGCAAGTAGATGCATAACTGTAATAAAAGCTGATTGAACTTAGAACGCGTGTAAAGCGACTCATTGGAAAAATCTAAATATAGTCTATTTGGGAATGCAGAACGGGATATACTTCTAACCTTTTGCTTGGTTTGTTGGTCGCATAGCGTGTCCAAATCAACATTGGCAACAATACTACATATTGTTGATAAAGTATATACATAGGCTCTTGGTACATAAGCCATAATATCAAAACGAATGTAAAATAATCCACTTAATAACTCCGTCAAAATCTCTTTTATGATTTCACTAAACTGTGGTGGCCAGAATACTGTACCTTTTAATTTGAACTACTCAGAAAAACTGTAGGGTATTAACAGTTAAACTCAGAGTAAGTTAGGAGTTTGACGAAAAAGATGTAGACGATAGTGTTAATTTTAAGAATTTTCTTTACATGCATGTACTGGTCTGTCACATATTTAAGTAGGTTGCGTTACTTTGCTACTAACCTGGTTATCTGGGACATCTATATTGAAGTTTCGACTTTCTATTTCCCTTTGAAGCAACAACAGCTCACCCTGAGCAGCCATTTGAAAAAATGTTAGGTCTTTAGATTCTGTTGGAGCAAGTGTTTGAACATTTCTTCGCTGCACATTAGTTAGCAGAGTAGAGATTTTATTTGGTGACCGACCACAAGGTCTGTTGAACTCGGCTTTTGATAAAAAGTCGGGCGGAGGCACAATTGATCGGAACGACATTTCTGTTAATCAAGCCATCAGAAGTGTTACACGTAGTAAGACTGGATGGCAGGTTTCCGACTACTTTTAACTGAACGTAAATAAAACAAGTAATACCATTAAACGATCTTCCGAAAGATGTGTACCAACCACAGTTACTGAGATTCAAATACATCTTAACCATTAGTAGCAATCCAGTGAATAACTTGAAAAAATTACGATATCCTGAGTGCAAAATCGAAAGTGTCTTCGCCATGGGGACTCTTACTTAGCCGGCTGCTTCAAACGAGTCTTGGCGTATGATGCTGTAATACGGTTGCTCATATAGTAGGTTACTTGCATTCCAACCACTAGGTCCCAGTTTTAAACCCTGTTTCGATGAACTTGTAACCTGACGCTATGTAAGCAATCGTGCGCCACTTTATGTTGGGTACACGAACCTGTCAACTAAATCAGAATAATTAACGAGTAATGTGTTGGTAGTTTTTGTCTAGAGAAGCTTTTATATGCGCTGAAGCCAAAAGTGCTTCAATAAGACTCAACACCGTCCAGCATCTCAAACAATTTTTACCAAAGTTTCGAGTTTAACTCCGGTAAAGAAATAAGGATGCGAAAAACTAACTAGTTTGTGAGTCGAGCACGACACATGAATATACAGTTCTTTTTAAGTGCTGGTGTTGGCGTTAGTGATGAGGTCGATTCACGTATAGTGAAAACCGGAGAGGCTTGTGATAATCTGGGCCATCTTTGGCGCCTTCGTGATGTTAGTCTGGCTGTAAAAGGTCGGATCTACAGCGCGTCGGTAAGAGCAGTTTTGCTCTATGTTTGTGAATACTAGCCTCTCCGAGTTTACGGTGTTAGACGACTCTCTGTGTCTGATCATCGTTGTAACCGACGGATTGCTGACACCCAGTGGCAACATCATGTTAATAATGCAGAGGTTTGGCATCGTCTGTTCTGGCAAAGCGACGGTAATTCAATTGATGTCACTATCTTGAAACACCGACTTCGGTGGCTTGGACATGTACTACGAATGTCGTCCCGCAGAATTCCATATCGCGCATTATTTGGCGACGCTGGGACTGGTTGGGAAAAGCGGAGAGTTGGTCAGTGTATAACTTAGTGCCGTTGTTAAGGTCTGGCTTCTGTTGATCTTTCACGATCCCCTGGTTGGGGTCCTAGAGATGGAAGGACACAGTGGCTAGAGACGTTATCAGATATGGCTCGGAATAGAAGCCAGTGGTGACCCTGTTGCAACTTTATTGTACTTTCTTCATAAAAAAATGAACTTAAATTCTTTGAATGGAAGCTTTTTGGTTATATTTTCGCTAACTGCACTGCCTCTCCTACTGTTATTATTCCATTTTCACACACTATTTTCTGCTTGTTATTGTTCTCCTTTTATTATACGCACTTTACACTCTATCTCTTCACGTTCTCATTGTTATTGTGTGGCGCATATGCATTTGGTGCCCCTTTGTACAAATATTTGTGTTCATATAAATAAATAAATTTTAATTGTTAATTTATCAGGTCCTCAAAGTTTACACTCGGAATAGCACATCTGAATTAAGCATTATGTATTAAAATAGTTGATACTTATAAGCGATTTGTAGCAAAAATTATAATAATCGCCAAACCTGTTGAGTTCAGATCATAGAAATAGTATCAAGTGACTCAACAATATTTTGATTAGATAGACATTTTAAGTTGTTGTACATCAAGGGACAAGCTCTGCATACTTGAATACTACAAGATGATGAGGTGAGATTTGTTGAGGTATGACACCATATGATCAACACGGTCAAAGATATGATGGTGGTTAAAGAGATTAAGGTAAGACAAAATAAATGAGACTTCAGAAGTTAATCTTTGGGGATCGGTATTTATATTTTCAACAATTAGAAAATTGTATTTTTACACTGCCCTCGTCATAAGTTTTTATTTTACTCACTAATGATTGTAACCCCTTTTGCCGTTCATCAGTGAAATAATTATGAGCGTATTACCTAGTTCGTCTTACCGTATACAGTAGTCAAGTTAGAGAGCTCAGTGAGTATAAACGGAAAATCGTTATGAAAGGATTACATAGTGACAAATATTGTGATGCATCGATGAAAAACAGGAATATTAGGCAAATTAGGTAATCTACAGGTACAAATGAGATTGCGACAAAATATATTCATCATATTTTCCCTACTTCATCTGAGAGAAACATGGTCATCTTCGAACATTGACAACTGCAACACAGGTAAGCCTGATCAGTACGACAATAAAGACTTGTTACAACAAACAGAGAGACTCGGCTTTCAGTCACACTTTAGGTTTAAAGTAGTGAAAGTACTATTCGAAATGAAAGTGGTGAGGTTTTAAATCTGCACTCCAATGGTCACAATTCGAACGCTCCACGAAGAAACTGGATTATTTGGGGAAATAATTCTAACTTATTCCCTAAAAGTGACTGAATTCAATCTCTGGGGCATCGCTAGAACTTTCCAAAGTGTTCACACATATTACGTCGCTTTTATAGGTAACAGTTAAGTTTTACTTAACAATGGCTTATATCGATGATTTATGGTAGGGATTTCACAGCCTTTAGATATTATATATGTATACCACAGAGTGGTACAAGTAATTAGATAAACCACTCATGACATAGAGGTTTTGTCAAGCAAATATCAGTAATGGAAATGCCGGGAGTTACTGCAGCTTACTTATTGAGAAAAATACCAAATTACGCATGCAAAACCATAGATTTTGTCGCATAATTTTCCATAAGTTAGACTCTTAGTATTTATTCTACGAGTTGATTTGTTGTCTGGTTGTAGAAACTTTAACTCGACAAAAAATATAGAAAACGGTTGGGTTCAACTACCCTTCTTCCATGATTTGCACGACTGTATTGACAAGCGCGATGTATGCACGAAACAAGGCAAATACACTCGAACACTCAACTAATATCCTTAGATGTAATGTGAAGATGTAGTTACTAATAATTAAAAACTAGACGTTGGTTTCCAGTCAAACTGGAGGATTACTCATGGCACATCATTTCATTGATGTGGAATACTAACGGAGCTACAGCGCATCCAAGTCTATGATATCGTGGACATAACTTGTGTAGATTATACTAACTGTACTAAATAATAAATAATCATGAAACCAAAGTGTAAAGATTAGGGTCTACATCAATTGGCAACAACAAAAACTTGAAATCAATACAATCCGATAATCTAAACAATATGCTGATCGAATAAGACTATCGTTTCCTTACCGTGACGTTGTGTATCAAATCAGCGCCGAAACTGTTTTAAATGGTCTTGGAAGGAATGGCAGAAGCTTTCGCTTAATGAGCTTCCGTATCTAGCAGCAGTGGGTCAGTAATACCTTCAGGCAGGAAACTAGATATATTATCGATAAAAGAGGGAAACGAAAATAATTGGCAAATCATCGTATTATACTATCCTTATTCCTTAAGAATAGATCAAGTTTTCTCTTAGAGTACTCCTGAGAAGTCGCTTGTACTAGCTCAGCAGGTAGCGAATTCCAGCATTTGAGTACTCTTAGGGAGTAGAAGGTGTGTCTACAGTCTGTTCTACTGTGTTGTCTTCAGTTTCCTGGTGTTACCCCTAAGGTTTGTGTTCACTCTAAGTTTAAGTAGGTGTTTAAGGTAATGTATAGAAGTGTTTAGGGTGCTGTAAGCCATTGAAAGATCACCTCTAAGACGTCTGTACTCTATTGGGTACAGGTTTAGTAACTGGAAGCATGAGGCTTGAATATGAGTATCCAAACTGATATCGTGGCTCGCCGTTCGATACGTTCCAGAGTGTCCTTATCCTTGGGAGTGAGGGAGGAAATAACATGATTCCGTACTCTGAATGGGGACAAGTAAAACTATTGAAGATTATGTGAATTTTTTTACTGTGTGTGGTCAAGTCATAGCAGTATGAACAAACTGAATTAGTGAAATTCCACCAGGATCCTAGTAAACGACTACAGTGCGTAAATGAAGCAGTTTCGTCAGCTGTTTGAAACAATATTTCATGTCATTAATATGATCAATTATCTTACACGAAAGAACCTAATCAGACAGTCTGTTTTGGACATAGAACTTATAGATACCTTAGGTTGTATTCACCCCTACTCTTCTTCATTTTCTTACCTCTAGTTTTCAAGACATTATTCTAGTCAGTTACCAAAGAAGGTATGTCACCTGGCAATCACGTAAAGATGCCACAGATATTCGGAGTTCGACAACGCTTTTACACGTAACACTTTTATAATCTAAGTATTCCAGTACATCCAAATCAGATCTATGAAATGAAAAGGTTTGAAGGTATTTTCGAAAAGCTATCGTTAATATTGAGCTGTTTGTCGTCCAAACACACGACGACTTACGAGTCATCATTAGCCAAGACTTAAAAAGATATTGCATGCCGCGTGCTAGAGCGACCAATGTTTTCGGAACCCTACGGTTAATATGTTGGCTAAAGTTCGTGCGTCCTAAACTTGAGTACTGTATACAAGCTAGCTCCTTATTGAAAAGAACAGTGAGCTTTTGGAACGGTTTCAGCGAACCGCGACCGAGCTAAATCATGGAATATCGAAGCTCTTGTATTTTATTCGACTGACTAAACTAATCTTATTTTCATTATCATATCGAGTAATCAGTAGGGATTTGATCATAGCTTTCAAATTACTTAGTGATAAAATTACACCTGATATGCCCTTATTTTTCTCGTCTTCCAAAACGGAGAATTTGGGAGGACATACCAAAATATTTCACAAGCCCAGAACAAATTACTCGTCAGTTGACTATCAACTTCCCATCGAATCATCATCGAGTGGAATCTATTACTTCAACACGTGGTTAAAGCTCCATCTGTCCACACTTTCAAAAGAACGTTGGACCAAATGGGGGACTACCACAGCTACCTGACCTCCTGTCTTTTCCAGGGCGAAAACTGAAACCGAAACGAACATATCGAGAAGCATTTAATCTCGGCTAGCTGACGGTTGTAGGACAGGTGTAGCACAGTGTACCAACTTGTGATATGGTAGGGACACGTGACTGCGCATCTTCAGCTAGGGTGCGTCCAGTAGAACTAATTAGGTTAGCACCAAACGTCGAAGTCTTACAGAAATGTTTATTTCGGTGATTTGCCTTCCGCTAAATTGATAACACGCACCATGTTATGTACTAGCCCCAAGGTGCGACGTTACTTACTCGCTTACTTACACCTGTTACTCCTCGTGAAGAAACATAGGCCGCTAACCAGCACTCTCCATCAAACCCTGTCCTGGGCAATCCTTTCCAGTTCATTCCAGTTGTTATTTATCCTTTCCACATCTGCTTCAGATCACCACCTAGTTGTAGCCAATTTAAAACTGAAGCTAAAAAAGAACTGGACAAGTGGACAAACAGCAATACAAAGGTTCAATACAGCCTTCCTTCGAGATACTGACAAACTCAATGAATTCAAGATAGCTCTCAACAACAGGTCCCAAGCCTTACAAGATCTACTGAAAGAAGAGGAAACTACTGTGGAGGAAAACTGGAAAGGCATCAAAGAAGCATTAACTTCAACGTGTCAAGTGGTTCTGGGCCCAAAGAAGCACCATCATAAGGAATGGATCTCTACAGAAACACTGGACAAGATCAAAGAAAGGAAGAACAAGAAGGAAGCAATAAACAACAGCCGAACACGAGCAGAGAAAGTCCAAGCACAAGCTGAGTACATAGAAGTAAACAAGCAAGTGAAGAAGAGTATTAGAGGCGACAAGCAGAACCAAAACACGAAATATAGGCCAGTTGAACTTACCTAAGAAAAAAAGAAGGATACATATATACTGCTTTAAAGCAGTATTCAGTATGAATTCATACTGAAGACAACAGGAAGTTGATCATAGAAACACAGATTACAGTACAACAAACCTTTCTTCAGTAAAATCATGCACTGACAGTCTATCTGGAAACAATCAACTATGTGAATAAAATCACTATGACTTGAGATATCATTTCAGCGTGCAATGGACGTACAGTGTAACGCAGTCGGACGTGGCGAATAAAAATTAAAAACAGAGAAAAATTAACTACATAATTTAGTTATTTAATTAAAAATACATTATGAAATGACAAAATATGTGGTTACTTGAACGCACAAATGACAGTGTGCGATACATTAAGTTTACATTGGTTGCGTTGCGGATAAGATCACCCCAGAAACACGTGGAAGAACTAGCAACGAAGGCGGAAAAAGCTGCTACAGAAGGAAATATGGAACAGCTTCACAATACAACGAAGAAACTAGCAGGGAAATACAGTAAACCAGAGAGGGCGGTCAAAGACAAAGAAGGCAAGCCAATCACCGAAATTCAACAACAGCATAACAGATGGGTAGAATACTTCGAGGAACTCCTGAATAGGCCGGCTCCAATGAATCCACCGGACATCGAAGCAGCACAAATAGATCTTCCTATAGATGTCAATCCACCAACTACGGAAGAAATCAGAATGGCCATCAGACAAATCAAGAGCGGGAAAGCATTAGGATCCGACAATATACCAGATGAAGCACTGAAAGTCAGACATTGAAGTAACTACAAACATACTTAACCTTCTATTCAAAAAGATTTGAGAGGAGGAACAAGTGCCGATGGACTGGAAAGAAGGACACCTCATCAAGATTCCAAAGAGAGGAGACCTGAGCAAATGTGAAAACTACAGAGGCATAACACTACTGTCAATACCAGGGAAAGTCTTCAACAGATTGTTGCTGAACCGGATGAAGGATGCAGTAGACGCCCAACTTCGAGATCAACAAGCTGGATTCCGTAAGGATCGGTCGTGCACAGACCGAACTGAGACACTACGGATCATCATCGAACAATCAGTTGAGTGGAACTCATCACTATACATCAACTTCATTGATTATGAAAAGGCATTCGACAGTGTAGATAGGAGGACATTATGGAAACTTCTTCGACACTACGGAGTTCCTGAGAAGATTGTCAATATTATCCGGAACTCATACAACGGATTACAGTGCAAAGTAGTGCATGGAGGACAGCTGACAGATGCATTCCAAGTAAGGACCGGAGTCAGACAAGGCTGTTTACTCTCTCCCTTCCTCTTTCTTCTGGTGGTCGACTGGATTATGAGGACCTCGACATGTGAGGGAAAACACGAAATACAATGGACAGCTCAGAACCAATTAGACGATTTGGACTTCGCAGATGACCTAGCCCTCCTATCACGTACACACGAACAGATGCAGATAAAGACAGCCAGTGTAGCAGCAGTCTCTGCATCAGTAGGCCTCAACAAACACGAGGGGGAAAGCAAGGTCCTCAGATACAACACGGAGAACAGCGATCCAATCACACTTGATGGCAAAACTCTGGAAGATGTAGAATTTTTCACATACTTGGGAAGCATCATCGATGAAAAAGGAGGCTCGGATGCAGACGTAAAGGGGAGGATTGGCAAAGCAATGGTCGCATTCCTACAATTGAAGAACATATGGAACTCAAAACAACTTTCAAGCAATATCAAAGTAAGAATCTTCAATACGAACGTCAAGGCAGTTCTACTGTATGGAGCTGAAACTTGGAGAACTACAACGACCACCATCAAGAAGGTACAAGTGTTTATAAATGGCTGTCTACTCAAGATACTCAACATCCATTGGCCGGATACCATCAGCAATAGCCTTCTGTGGGAGAGAACAAACCAACTTCCAGCTGAAGAGGAAATTAGGAAAAGACGATGGAAATGGATAGGACATACATTACGCAAATCGTCAAGCCGCATCACGAGGCAAGCCCTAACTTGGAATCCTGAAGGGTAGCGGGAAAGAGGAAGGCCAAAGAACACATGACGTCGGGAAATAAAAGCAGATATTACTTACGCCTGTTACTCCTCGTGAAGGAGCATAGGCCGCTCACCAGCATTCTCCATCCAACCCTGTCCTGGGCAATCCTTTCTAGCTCCGTCCAGTTGTAATACATCGCTTTCATATCTGCTTCTATTATCCGACGCATTGGAGCCGGCCTATTCAGGAGTTCCTCGAAGTATTCTACCCATCTGTTATGCTGTTGTTGAATTTCGGTGATTGGCTTGCCTTCTTTGTCTTTGACCGCCCTCTCTGGTTTACTGTATTTCCCTGCTAGTTTCTTCGTTGTATTGTGAAGCTGTTCCATATTTCCTTCTGTAGCAGCTTTTTCCGCCTTCGTTGCTAGTTCTTCCACGTGTTTCTGCTTGTCGGCTCTAATACTCTTCTTCACTTGCTTGTTTACTTCTATGTACTCAGCTTGTGCTTGGACTTTCTCTGCTCGTGTTCGGCTGTTGT